CTGCACAAATAGCTGCCTATCAGCAGGCTGTGGCCGATGATCTTGATCAACTGGAGACCCACGACAAGTCAGCCACGCCATCATGGCACGGGCTAAGGAACACCTGCCTGTGTCGACCTCGCAGCACCGCCGCGTCACGTGGACGGAGGCCAGCACGCAAGGCAGAGTCAGAACCATGTGGAGCCATTACCATAACCTTAAAGCCGTTGCAGGCCGCGCTACACGGGCCTCTGCCCTTGGAGACTTGTTTCGGGTGTGGCAACATTTGACTGCCTTCTTAAGCTCACAAAAAGCCCTCCGTAAGCACTGCCGCAGGCAGAAGAGACAGATTGTTGCGGACAAGGTGGCTATGGCTGAGCGGGCCATGCAGGCAGGCAACATACGCGAAACTTACTCCATAGTACGGTCTCTTGCCCCCAAAAATGCCAGACGCCGACCCAGACGAAAAGAAACTTATCAGAAGGTCCTCACCCGACCACAGGAAGCTGATCTCATGCGCCAGCACTGGAGTAAGGTTTATAAGGGTAAACCCGGTGGACCCGTCCCCACTTTCACCTTTCACTTTCAGACTGAGAAAGTTGTCCAAGCCATTGAAAATATCAAGCAACATAAAGCTTGCAGCTGCAGGCTGCTGGAAGTATGCTGCTGGCCCCTTGGCTGGGCTGCTAAGCCGCACGCTCCTGGCATCTTGGCGCACGCAACAGGTGTGCATCCCGGATGACTGGCGTCATGCGTGGTTGGTTTTCATCAGCAAGCCTTATAAAAATGGGCATAGCCCCTCCGATTATCGACCCATTGCCCTCTCTTCGCCCATAGGTAAAGCCTTATTGGGTATAATTCAAAGTAGACTTCGTCCTTATATGGTGCGCGAAATGTCGCACTTCCCGCAGTGGGCATATTTGCCGTCCCGTGGTGTCAACCAGGCCCTGGCACTTATGTACTCGCATTGCCAGAGGGTGACGGAGGCTGTACGCGCGCAACGGCTGTCGCTTTATGATAAGAAGGCAGGTGCCAGACGAGTTGAGCTCTGCGGAGGCCTCATGCTGTCTGTCGACCTTCGCAGCGCCTTCGACAAACCAACGCACGCCTCCATGGAGCAGGCACTCGCCCTTACTGACATACCAGAAGAGTTGCAGTTCCTGATACGTTTGTGGCACCACAACATGCAGTATCATACGACGTTCGCAGATCAGCCCCGATCCTTCAAGGCGCAACAAGGCATCAGGCAGGGCTGTAAAGTCTCGCCATATGTATGGCTGCTGTTTACAAAACTCGTCATGACAAAGGTTAATGCTGCACTTGGGCCGGAATGGCGCCAGCGCTTCTACAGCGCCTATGCAGACGACCAGCTTGTCCGCGCTAAGCTCAGCTTGCCTGCAGAGCTCAAGGCACTTCTCCGCGGTATCGGATCTGTTCTTAACGTCCTAGAGGCCTTAGACATGGCTATCCCCAGGCAAGTCCCTTGCTGTGCTAACATTAACAGGTTTCCGCGCCAAAAAGCTTCTTCGTCGTCACACCGTCAAGGTGAATGGCTTGTCTCGCTGCAGGATAGCATAGATTACTTAGGATGTTGCATCGGCTTCCAGCACTTCGAGGCCAACACGGTGCGGAAGCACATGGAGGCTGCTAACACCGCCTTCCACAGGCTTAAAACGGTGCTTTGTTGCCGCACCGTCTCCTTGGAAATGCGTATCCGGCTCTGGAAGGCTTGCGTGCTGAGTACAGGCCTCCATGGCCTCGTCCTGCTCCCAATGGCACACGCGCAGTACTGCAAGTCCGCCGTACATTTGTCAAGCAGCACGCAGCATTGGCATCTGAGAACATTTGTACGCCACAGAAGGCACAGTGCTGGCAAAAGATACTCACACAAGCTACCATCAGGCATCTGGGCAGTTCTGGCCCCTGCAGTGTGAGATCGCCTGGAACTCTGCCTGGTGGGTCGGCACGGATTGTTTCAAGAAGCTATCTCTCTGAGATATTGCGCACAAGTGCAGCAGAACCATCTGAAGTAAGGTTTGGCAGTGTACGTGTTGCCTGGCAGCATGGTCATCCTCAAAGGTGGTGCCGTAGAAAGGACATCCATGGGACGTCATGTGCATTCTGAAGTTCTGACATCTGCTTAAGGCACGCTCATGCCACCGCTCCCACTCAGCAACATGAAACTACGTTCGCAAACTTATTCCAAGTTTTTCCGGCGCACCACTGGTGACAGGAAGTACAATTGGAAAAGAGTTTTTGACAGGCTTTGGGGGCGTTGGCGGGCTGTGTCAAGAGGTTCAGGACCAAGAAACGGATTGTATAAACTTTGCACTGTGCAAGGACTTTACTAAGCCAGTGTTGCTGCCGATGTTTTCCAGTTAGTAAGTTCTGCAGAGACGCGCAGACATCACCTAACGGTAACTATTCGCAAAAGACGTTCTGAGACCATGTCACGTGCCTGGCAACCAAGCATTGTATGGGGTCCTCAATCTGGAGTCAAGCCAAAGACCACGCTCCCGGACATTTCGAGGGAGCCGTCTAGGTCTTGGTCAGACAAGCACGACGACCGCAGGCCAAAAGTGCTGCAACATGGAAGTCTCTTTCTGCTGTCAGCCGGCAGCCTAACTAAGGTGGAAGTCAGTCTTTTAAAAGTCCAGAAGATTCCAGATGCTGAAACCAGAGTCATGCAGATTGTCAACGATGTTTTCTTGTGTAAGTCCACGGCTTTGCAAGCCAGAGCGTCAGCTTTGCTTCACTATGTCAGATGGCGGAATTCAGCGGCTTAGACCCACTGCATTTCCAGTAGATGAGGAGGCATATGAGTACGTTTGTTTCCTGCGTTCCGAAGGTGCGCCAAAGTCGAAGATTCCCAGGTTTCGTAAGGCCGTGAATTTTGCAGGAGCCCTCTTGGGGTTTGATTTTTTCGCAGGAGGAAGCTTGCGTGATTGGCTTCGTTCTCTATGTCCTTCATGGCAGGTTGCGTTGGTCGGATCAGTTTGACCTACTTCGGCATTGCAACCTGGCAGTGGCCAGTGTAGAGCACCGGTAGCTAGGACTATGTGACAAGTCGCAACGATTCCAGAACTGTGAGAACCAGCAAACCAAAGTATATTGTACAAGAATGCATGTCAGGTTGTTAGGATTGGAAGCGTCACTGGCAGTCTAACAAAATAAAGTACATCAGACGGTTTAGCAGTTCCAACAAGGACTGTAAGAGCTGCAGACCAAAGTATATGGCACAAGAATGCATGTCGGGTTGTCGTTGAGGGCCGATCCGACCGGAGGGTCATGGACTGGAACAGTTCCAAAAATAACGTTCATCAACTTTCAACTGGATGGAATTCAGTCTGCCTTATAAGCCAACGTAACTTTCACCAGAGCAAGCAATTGCCGGCTGAGTGTATCTCATCTGCGCTCTGGCTGCGCTGCAGTTCCATTCTTGGAGGCACATTCTTGATGAGGAAAAGCTCCATGCGTGCCCAGCAGCCCGTACTTTGTTGGCGTCGGAAATCGCGCAGCGGCGCCGGAAACTTGCGGTTCTCAGAGCGGGCAGGGGTGTCCCAATGATGCCCAGACCGTTGCTGGGGAAAGCGGGCTTTGATTGCTTGGCTCTGGACGCCTTGCAAGGTGCCCTGTGTGTTAGGGAGTTGCTAGAACACTTGGGAGGCCATGCGCCTTAGCAAAGATTGGCACTCATTCCCTCAAGTGTACCATCTTGTCATGGATGTCCAAGGCGGGAGCCCCGAACCACCTACGGTCCGTTGCAGGGTATCATGTTGGGCGCGCGAGGTCTACACTTGAGTATTCGAGGGATACGCTTGCTCCGGTCCTGCATTTCTGTGAGAGCATGTTCGCAGTTATTGCGGCAGGCCTTTTTGCGCCTGATGCAACCAGAGCAGGTAGATGGAACTGCGCAACTAAATCCATCGAAGCTGCCGTGGCGGCACTTGGAGGGAGCGCTGACAAGGTTGCTGAACAAGGATCAGGTGAGGCTAGTTCGGACCTTGAGCCCCCTTCGGAGGTCTTCTCGGAAGCGCCCGAAATGGAGGCGGCTGACGATTTTGAAGAAGCTTCCTTTTATGCTGGGGGTCTTGGCTCAGTTGTGCGTGTGGACAGCAGTAGCCGAATGCCAGTTGTTTTCCGTCACAAATCAAGTAGGGTAGTTCATATTTCCAGAGAAGACCACCCCGATGATGAGGGTGAATTGTCAGTTTTGGTGTGTGGCAGGATCGCGAACGCTAATTATGAGCGTCTCGATGAGTTACCTGCTGTAATTTTGAGCAAATGCAGCTCCTGCTGGGCGGGCCGACGAGGCTGAGCAGAACGTCCAACGCACCTTGCTCAGAATGTGAATGCTGGGGGAAGGTGAGCCAGCGCATTTCGTGTGAGTGCATATGGATGTGACCTGAAATGTTGGGGGTCTGACCCACGTCACCTCACGATGACTGAAAGCGCTTATTGGCCCTCTGCAGTTTTGGGCTCGGGTAGACCAGTTCAGGTCATGGCAGCTGTGGACTCGGAGGCACTTTTCAAGGCGAAATGCAAGCAACTCAAGCTGCCTGATGAAGCGGTAACCAAAATGGCTGCCAAGGGGTGGACAACGTACGGCACCTTTGCTTTTGCCGTCCCCGGTGATCCGGGCAAAATCTCCGACTCAGATTTTCGAAGCATTGTCTGCCAACCTGTACTTGGAAGCGAGCAAGAGCACGTGCCGAAGCTGAGGAGACTACACTTCGAAGCTTTCGCGATCACGGCGGCAAAGCTCAAGCGCACTGAGAAGTGCAGGAGTCTGACCAACCACGTAAGTTGCCAGTGGTCGAGCTTGCTGCCCGATATGAAATTCTTCAGCAGAGGGTCAAGCCTCTGAAACTGGTGGACAAGTTGGAGCCCTCGCAAGCCTTGGTCAATCAGGCAGCGCACATGCTGGAGGAGCAGAGGATCAAATACGTCGAGTGGTTTCGTTGTACTTCGCGTGCGCAGGAGGTGAATGCTGTGAAGGAGGACTCGTCATTGAAGCTCCTCCAAAGTTCCAAGGAAGGGGCAGTCCTCTTGCGAGATCCCGAATCCGGGCTGAGGGCATCGCCCGGCTCTGACCTCGAGGTAATGCAAGCGCTGCGTCGGCGTGGGGTAGCCTATGATCTGGCAGCCATCATGTCCTTTGAGGCCCATGAGAAGCTCATCGACACCTTGTTTGCGGAATACCAGCGTGACGTGATGCCGGGCCATCAGCCGTTGTCCTTCTCCCAGATGCAGATGGTGGACAGAGAGATTCATGTCCGTGTGGCTGAGATGACACGGTCAGGCTTGACTCCTACGGCCTCAGGAGGCATGCCACTGGACGATGTGATAGTCCAGGTTCTTGCCTTGCCAGATTCAATGGATGCTCATGCCACGTCCTAAAGCACAAGCGGCTGGGGCGGTGAGTGTGCCAGGGCTTCCCAATCAGCCTGCTCCGAAGCCAAAACCAAAGGCTAAGCCCAAGGCAGGTCAGGAGTGCGTCGGCCGGTGAAGAGGACACCAAGCCACCTGCAAAGAAGAAGCGGAAGGTTTTCTACCGCATGCCAAAAGGCTTGTTCGGAGGCGTGGCGAAGGATAACAATGGGAAAGCCCTTTGTTTCGACCACAATCTTGGTCAGTGCAGTGGTGGTGATTCGTGTGCCAAGGGGCTCCACAGGTGCTGTTATCCTGATTGCTTCGCCACCGACCATACCTTCTTGAATCACCCAGCCTGACTAGCTGGGAGGAAGCGGAAGGTCGACTCGATGCAGGAGTCGGATGTGCACGCTGCCCTCAAGTCGGGCGTGGCGCTGGCACATGAACGGGCTGAGGCCGAGGGGCCCAGGTCCGGTGCCGGTGACATGCCGAGGACGACTTGTGAGATGCAGGCTCCTGAACGGGCTAGGGCCAGTGGGTCCATGTCCGGGGCCAGTGTCTATGCATCCTTGCCAAAGGAGCGTGAATTCAAAGCCTGGCGAAGACCAGACAGTGCGTTTCATTTTCCATGCGAGGGGCTTGCCGAGGGGCATTCCCCGACTGACTATGATCCAGGGATGGCTGAAAAGCTGGCAGCTTCAATGTCTGAATCTGCCCCACCCAGGAGTCAGGTCCTTGAGCTTGTGCGCCTTCTTCCTTCAGAGCGGGCGCCCAGGGGTGGAGAGGCTGCCACTTCGCGATCCTTCACTAGCGGTGCTTGGGCTAAGGACGGGGCAATCGGCTTCAGGCATAATTCTTCTTTATTTCCGCAAAGCACTAAGATTTTGACCGCCTTGATCAGGGAAGCTTTTCCCTCTGCCACGTTTTGCTCAGTGGCTGTGTTTACTGATTTGAAGGCGGAACCACACATTGATTCTAACAATGATGAACGTTTCATGAACCGCACCCTGCCGCTTTCCTCTTTCCAGGGAGGCTCAGTGTGGGTCGAATCGAGCCAAGGGGGCGTCGAGCGTTCATACCGGGGCCGAAAGCGCATTGGTGTCTTGTTGGATGTAGCAGCAGGTCCCGTGTCGTTGGACTCGTCAGCACTTCATGCAACGGAGCCCTGGGTGGGCTCAAGGGTGGTGCTTGTTGCGTATTGCCCGCGTAACATGCGCAAACTCGGCAGTGAGTCCCTAATTCCTTAGGGTTTAGACCTCCTGACCCCCCGTGTGGCAAACTTCAGGCTCCCGATCATTGCCTGAGTCAGATGCCAAAATTTCCTCCGGATCCGCCAGCAATTCCAAAGGTGGTGCACAGCCCGGATCGGGTCCGGCTCAGCCCCAGGTTCCAGGCGGGTTGAACGTAGATGGTGGTATGCCCCGTGCAAGACCGGCCTCGAGACCGTATGCGCTGGAAGTGTTTTGTGGCAGCGGTGGCTTGTCAGTCGCACTGAGACGTTGGTCCTGAGGATAGGTGGGCGTCAGTGCTTGCAGTCTTGGATGTTGATCACGATCGCGTCATGTTCTTCGAATCCCTGGCCTTGCCGTTCGGTGCGACAAGCTCAGTCACAGGATTCAATAGGACGGCCAGAGCACTTCGGATCATCATGATCAGACTCTTTTGCTTGGTGTGCACATCGTTTTACGACGATTTCTGCCAGTTGGAGCTTCTGGACCTTGTGGAGTCCGCAAGCGAAA